GGGGGGGTGGCTGAAAGTTGCACGAACTTTATACGGAAGCGCATTTTTGTCCCTCTTGGTTTCTCTGCGCGGCGGGAGAGTTGTGGTTTTTCTCCAATGGCTATGAGGGGTCGTTTGGAGGGGGAGGCCACGTTTCTCCCTAATAGCAGATCTTTCTCGCCAACGGTGCGGTTTCGTAACCCACGCAGTGAGTCGGAATCTCGTCCCAAGACGGCACTGACAACGCTCACGCTACTGGGTGTCATCTACACTGCAAGTATCAGCGGTGGGTACGGCTTGGAGGAGTCTGTCAGCGCGGGAGGACCTCTTTTGACGATAATATTTCTGTGCATCATCCCATTTTTATGGGGCATACCCGTGTCCTTGTGCGTCGCAGAATTGTCGTGCGCCATTCCATCCAATGCAGGTCCTATCATGTGGGTGAATGTATCCTTTCCTCCGTGGTTTACATTTTGTACGGTTATATGGACGGCCTTTTTAAACTTTGTGGACAACAGCCTGTATCCGGCGGTGCTTGCGGATTATTGCGCGACGCTTCTGCATCTTAATTTTCTTGAGAAATCGCTTGTAAAGGTGGTTTTCTTGGGTGTGTGTGCGTTGATAAATATGGTGGGTATTCAAATCGTCGGAACCTTGAGTGTAGCGGTGATGCTAGTAACACTCCTCCCCTTTCTTCTTATGTTTCTTCTACAGCTCCCTTTCGGTTTCAATTGGGAACGCATCGGGTATGTGCCAGCGAACATTAATTGGTCGGTGTTTCTCCCTGTTGTTGCGTGGAATTTTTCCGGGTTCGACAGCGCGGGTAATGTCATTGAGGAGGTGAGCAACCCCAATCCAACCTTTATTCGGGCTCTTGGGCTCATGATTGTCTCTGCCCTGGCCACGTATATTCCCCCCATATTGGTAGGGTCGAGCGCCAAGGCACTAACAAACACCCCGTTTGAGGATTGGGATAATGGGTTTTGGGTGAGGGTGGGGGAGGCGGTTGGTGGGTACGCCATGGCAGTTGTCGTGACCATTGGAGGCGTTATTTCAACGGTGGGGCTCATGACGACGCTGTTGGCAACAACCTCCCGCTCCCTGGCGGGGATGGGGACCCTCAACGCTTTTCCGTACATTTCTGGGTGGCTGTCGCACTACCACGACAAATATGGGACACCGATCAATGCCATCGTGGTCAACTCAATTGTCACGTGCGCTCTTTCCGTGTGTCTTTCCTTTCATACACTTGTAGAGCTGGACCAAGTCTTATATGCTCTATGCCTCATTGCGATTCTGCTTGTTTTCTTGGGGCTTCGCTTTAAGCAGCCTTTTCTAGAGCGCCCGTATAGGGCGCCAGGAGGCCTAGTTGCGGCGCTGTTCTGGGGTGGGGTGCCAATTGCATTCTCGTTGTTCCTCATTGCGGTATCGATGTTCGGAAGCCCCATGCTCTTCTGGAGCACTATTGCGGTGGTCGGTGGAACTGTCACCGTTTCCTATGTTGGGGTGCGGTACTTTAGGCCGGAGGGGTTTGAGGGAAAGTTGGTTGAGGAGTACGAGGATGCTGACATGCAGACGTATGGAACCCTCCTGGAGCAAGAGTGTAATGAGTGGCGCAGGATGCACCCGCACCATACCTTTATCGACCGTGAATCGCCCGAAGAAAATGTACTATCCAGGCATAATTAGAAGAGAACTATTTTCCGTTTGTTTGTTTCATTTACCTTCAAATAAGTGTATTTGGGGTTAACTGCGTGTTTGAGTGTCCAGCACCTTTTGTTGCATCGTTCCACACCCTCAAAGATCCTTGTGTGTCACGTTTTCTTGCTGCCGCCGCGTTTGCAGCGGTGGTGTGTGTGTGTGTGTTTGTGATTGTCGTATTCAAATGATTTTTACCCTATTGTTCCTTTTTTTTTTGGGGGGGGGTGGCTGAAAGTTGCACGAACTTTATACGGAAGCGTATTTTTGTCCCTCTTGGTTTCTCTGCGCGGCGGGAGAGTTGTGGTTTTTCTCCAATGGCTATGAGGGGTCGTTTGGAGGGGGAGGCCACGTTTCTCCCTAATAGCAGATCTTTCTCGCCAACGGTGCGGTTTCGTAACCCACGCAGTGAGTCGGAATCTCGTCCCAAGACGGCACTGACAACGCTCACGCTACTGGGTGTCATCTACACTGCAAGTATCAGCGGTGGGTACGGCTTGGAGGAGTCTGTCAGCGCGGGAGGACCTCTTTTGACGATAATATTTCTGTGCATCATCCCATTTTTATGGGGCATACCCGTGTCCTTGTGCGTCGCAGAATTGTCGTGCGCCATTCCATCCAATGCAGGTCCTATCATGTGGGTGAATGTATCCTTTC